TGAGCCTCATCCCTCAAGTCTCGTGTTTTTCTTCGGGATAAATACAAGTATTGAGGTACAGTGCTCTTTCATTTTTAACTATGAAAAATATGGGGTCAGTTCGATTTCATACTTCAACGTCCTTCCGAAGCGGGCAACGGGATTTCGATTCCGGCGACCGACAACTTCTTACGGGCAACACTCCCCCAAACCAAACCCACAAAAATAGCGCCGACAGCTGTTTAGAATGCAAGCGATCGTAGTGAAGAAAAATAGTGTTTCACCCACAAACTGATTGAACAATTTGAAATCATTAATCAATGCATGGAGACCTATTTGTGTTACTTTGTATACGACATACCCAAGTAATGGGTTAAATGGTTATCATGGATAGAATATTGGTAGAATACTTCATCTCATTCAATATCTCAGACCAATTTTTCTAAAATCCAGTATTGTTGTGTACCACCACATTTGATGCATTTTGGACACAATACTATACCAGTATCTGTGGTAGATCAATACTTATAAGAGAGGGACAATGTGTTGGCGGAACTGAAGGGTTACTTATTGAAGGCTCAACAAGTTTTGAAAAAATAGGTTGATGATATTGAAGTTAGGGGTGTAAACGAACCGAACACGAGTGAGCTTGGGCTCAACTCATGTTCGGCACGTTAAAAAATACCACTGTTTGTGTTTGACTCATTCATATTTTGAACATAAAATTTGTGTTTGTTCGGCTCGTTTGCTTAGCGAGCAGAACACGATACTGTTCGAGAACAAAAAACCGTTTTGGCAGCCCTAGTCATGCATGAGAACAAAAAACCGTTTTAACAAGCCCTAGTCCTGACCGGCTCGTTTGCTTAGCGAGCAGAACACGAGCTGTTCGAGAACAAAAAACCGTTTTGGCAGCCCTAGTCATGCATGAGAACAAAAAACCGTTTTAACAAGCCCTAGTCCTGACTCGGCTTGTTAAAAAATATCGTTGTTCGTGTTCGGCTCGTTTATATATCTAGTTAAATAAATTTGTGTGTTTAACTCTCTTGTTTATCGAGCCGAACAGAAGCTATTCACGAACAATGAGTTATTTTGACAACCCTAATCACATAGTCGTAGAATGTTAAAAATAATGCAAGATCTAAATCTCCTTTTTTAAACGTCGACCATCTGATGATCCGATTAGGAGAGTAAATGTTTTAGATTCGACTTA